CGCCCCACACTGGGACTGAGCTCGAAACCAGGCACGTGCCCTGACTGGGAATGAACCTGAACTCTGGTTCATAGTCGACGCTCAATCACTGAGCCATGTTTTCTGTATTTTAAAATGTGCCTTAAAAATTTCTAAATAATACAAGATACTGCAAACAAAGTAAAAAGGACAACCTGATGTCCAGGCGGTGCGGCTCAGTGATTGAAGAATCAACCTACGAACCAACAGGTCACAGGGTTTGATTCCTGGTGGGGGCACATGCCCAGGTTTTGGCCCTGATCCCCAGTAGGGGGTGTGCAGGAGGCAGCCGATCAATGATTCTCTCTTATCATTGATGTTTTTCTCTCTCCCTTCCCCTTCTTCTCTGGGAAAAAAAAAAAAAAAAGAGGATTTCTCATGAAGTATGTATGACAAGCTAATAATTAAACTCATATGAAATGTACAAAATAGTCAAGAAAAGGCATCAAAAGAACAGGGAAGATTTGCTTGTACCAAAATATATTTTAAAACTAATTTAAAATGTAAAAATAACAGGTAAATGGAACAGAATTCAGAAGCAGTCTCATATGTATGTGGAATTAAGCAACAGCCATAAAGAAAAAATGGAATAAAACATACCATAGTTTATAACCTCTATGACCAAACAGTCTCTCTCTCTCTTTCTCTCTCTCTCACACACACACCACCATAAACAAAATTAACAGACTAGCAATAAAGTAGGAGAAAATACTTATATGTAATGTATGACTAGTATACAAACTGTTTTAAATGTTCATAAATCAATATAAAAGAGTACCCAGTTGAAAAATGGGTCGAGGACACAAATAGGCAATTTATAGGAGAGGAACTACAAATGACCAATACAAATAGATGCTTAATCTTATCACTTATCAGGGAAACACACATTAAAAAAAAAAACCAACTTCACTTTTCACCCAGCAGATTGACCGGTTTAAGTTAGATAATATCAGCTGCTGACAGGGCCGGACTGCCAGCGGGAGGGGAAGTCAGCTCCGCCTCTCCGAAGACCAGGAGGCCGGGTCGATGAGAACTCACGCACAGAACTTAGGACCCAGCAATACCACTCGTGGTACCTACTCTTCCAAGGCTCATGCAGACTTGCAGAAAGACATGTAAAGGGTGTTCACTGGGACACCACTTACAGTAAGAAACCGGAAGTGCTCACCAGTGGGGCTCAGCTGGTGGCATGTTGTCCCAGGCACCAGGAGGTCACCGGTTCCATTCCTGGATTCCCGGTCAGGGCACCTGCCGGGTTGTGGGCTCGAATCCCAGCAGGAGGCATGCAGGAGGCAGGCGATCCATGTTTCTTTCTCATGGATGTTCCTATCTTTCCCTCCCTCTCCCTTCCTCTCTCTGAAATCAATAAAATCATTAAAAAACAAAGATCAAAAAACCCACAACCAACCAACCCAGAAGCAACCTAAAATGTTCATTAACATAAAAACGCCCGGAGAGCCGCTCTACAGATGACAGCAGATGTAAAGAACACAGCAGACTATACTTACAGGAAAAATTCTCCAACACAACCTGGAATTTTAAAAGTTGCAAAATGTAGGCCTTCTGAATCCTGTTTACATTTCAGTGTCTTGCCATGCACCCCTCCCCCCAGTTGTATGGAGATATTTAATCTTGGCGAAGAGTAGAAATAGTTGTGATTGTATAGACATGCCATTAGAGAAAGGCCTTTAGAAATCAGCATTCGTAACTGAACTTGTACTTGCTCTTTTCCTAACCAGACTGGCAGCCGCCATTCACCGGAGGCCGAACCTGGCAGTCACACAGAAGCTTTGGTTATGGCTCTGGGATGAGTTAACCGCTCCAATTTATACCTTCGCCCCCCAGGCTGGACAGCCCAAGTCCAAATGCCAATGTCAACCTGGGAGAAAGTGAGCCACTTATAGTTTCCTGGCACTGAATGAAGTGCCCGAATCACGGAACAACTTTCAAGTGGCACGTCAACTAATAAAAATGGAGCGAATGCTTTCCTCTTTCATGACAAAACAGACCAAGCCAATAAGCACCTGAAACAGTAACAACAATGCAGTCAAAATAAGCTGTTAAAAAGGACAGCAAGCAACTGGGTCTTTTAAAAGCTTTCGCTAGGAAAGATGAAGAATCCTGGGAAATCTATGCGAGAGAGAAGTCCAATACTGATCTCATTCACATCCTGAAGTCGGTATATGCCCATGAAGATTGCCTCCACCCCAAGTACACACGCACGCGCACCTTCTTAGGTTGCTGACAGGAATGAATTTGTTTTATTTTTTAAATATATCTTTATTGATTTCAGAGAGGAAGGGGGAGGGAGAGAGACAGACAGAAACATCAATGATGAGAATCACAGATCGGCCACCTCTTGGCATGCCCCCCACTGGGGACTGAGCCCACAACCCAGGCACGTGCCCTTGACCGGAATCGAACCTGGGACCCCTCAGTCCCCAGGCCGACGCTCCATCCACTGAGCCAAACCAGCCAGGGCCTGACAGGAGTGTTGAACTGAGCAAAAGCTGGGGACAGCCGCAAAGCTGGCTTTGGTTGCAGACTGTTGCACGCTAAGCCCCAAGAAATGATTGGCGATCACCTATGGTTCTGAACCGGCTGCTTCTTCCTCGGCCCTGATGGATGGCTCAGCGTTGGCAGCACGGCTTCCAAGATGCGCTCCCACACACTGCTTCCTGCACTGTTCTCTGGTCTGGCTGCAGGGTCCCCAGCACAGCCAAAGCCAAGATGATCTCATTCTGTCTCCAAATCTCAGAAGAAAAAGAAAAATCCATGTCTGAGCCCCTGCACGCCAGCGGGGTTGGCACGCTCCTCGGCGCCACGCTCAGGGGCTGTGCTAAAGCGGCCGCCTCCATGGACAGCAGGACAGGCCACCCACAAGCGGGCAGGGGAAATCATCTTTTTTTTTTTTTAAATAAAATATATTTTATTGATTTTTTACAGAGAGGAAGGGAGAGGGATAGAGAATTAGAAATATCGATGGGAGAGAAACATTGATCAGCTGCCTCCTGCACACCTCCTACTGGGGATGTGCCCGCAACCCAGGTACATGCCCTTGACCGGAATCAAACCTGGGACCCTTTCAGTCAGCAGGCCAACTCTCTATCCACTGAGCCAAACTGGTCAGGGCGGGGAAATCATCTTATAGAAGCCAGTGCTTTCCATTCACCAGCAAGTCTGAAAAGTTTTAATCTGTTTAACTAATGAGGTTAATTCACAGCAAAACGTAAATAATCAGCCAGAAATGGTTTGCTCATTTTCTTAATTTTTTAAAACAGAAAAGATCATTTAAAACATTCCTTCTTGTCCTACCCAAGTGATGAGATGCAGAACTAACGCTTCAGAGAGGAACTTATCAATGAAACATCAACAAGTTACAGATAAACATTTTAATTGATTAAATATATATTTTCCAAGATCTCTTTGAAATCGCATTTGAACTGTACTAATCAACAGCCAAAGGCAATATAAAAGTTTAAACCAACAATGTTCTGACATGGACAGGTGACAGGAACCGCTGCTATGTGAAGTCACACACACTGCTCCCAAGAACAATGATATTTTAGAAGATAATCCATCTTAACATGTGCAAGGACAAGTCTGTAATCAAAGGCTGGAAGAAATATATATTAGTGCCTGCTTTTTCAAAGTTTATTTTACATTTTAAATACAGTATTTTCTCATTAAAAAAACAAAACAAAACACAACAAAACAGCCCGGAAGTGCCTAACACCATGGTTTCTAGACCGTATGTACATGAGAGCTGACGGACAGCTGACAAGTGCTCTAATGTAACAGTGTGAACGTCTATGAGCTGAAACTAATCAAAATGAAAAAACACAGGTTAAGCACTTCTTAGGAAAAATAATCCAGTTTCCAAACAACAGAAAACAATTAGGTATGTACAAAACCAGGTATTAAAAAAACAGAAAGAACGCAGCACACAAAACCAACAGCCCCTTCCTTATGTAGTGAACTGTACCCACTGCAGGGGAGCCCTCCTACAGAGTGACTTAGGATCTGACATGTAAAAAATGGAAGTATTTCAGTAACAACATAGAGTAACATTACGTGTGTATATTGCCATCGTTGTCATTTTCTATCTGTACTATCCTCCCTCTGAAAACAAGAATCTCTAGACTAGTCAATCACTTATATATATCGGAGGCAATTAATTAACCCACATTTGTTTCCAGTGAAGAAAATGAAGGTGTACCTCTTCCCATCAATAAAAACATAATACAGACTAAAGCCATACAAAATTTCAGCGTGGGCATATGCACTTCCAATTCTCTAGTAATTCCAAACGGAAGTCCTGGAGGGTTTGTGCCTAAGGAGTAACAAATTAAAAATGGGCCGTCTCTGGCAGTGATCTCCACATAGTGCAATGTTCTTCTTCATACACTGAATTATATTTAAATGATTTTCTCTATTTTTAATTCAGTGGGTGGCAATTTGAGTTTACAAAACTGTTTATGTAACTATATGCTTGTGTAGAAAACAGTTTCAATTGGAGATGCTCTTACACAAAGCCAAATCAAGACAAATATGAGTGGCTTTTGGGCTGCTACAGGCAGTATACACACCAAATGAAGAGGCCCGTGAGCCGTGGAGGCGAGGGTGTTGAGGTGGTCTGCGTGTGCTGACACTTGCATCAGCAATCGGGTGTGGACATTCTATTTTAAGATCATCTCAGAAAGTAACTCCCTGTAATGTAACTCTGAACTAAGCAGCTGTTCCCAAAGCAAAAACCAATCTGGGTCATTCACAACCACATCAAATTGAAGCAACTATTTCCCACTATAATCTGTGAGGTCTCGAATTTTTAAGTTTTAAAAATCGTGATCTTCCCAGTTGTGTGCCTCGGGTAGAACACTAACGTAAGGATTTCACGAGAGGGCGCTGTAACGGTGGGCTCCCATAAACACATCGGGCAGGTAGCAGGGGACTAACCCAGCGGGGCTCCACCGCGGGATGTTTATTCTGGAGACCTTAAAGATGTAACACGCAGCTCACGGAACTTCCGCATCCTCTAGGGATGCTGCTGGTCGGCACCGAACGGCGGGCTAGGTCTGGGAACCCCTTTACCCCTAAGGATTAATGCTAAATGGTCTCCAGGAAGTCCCGATTCTCAACAAGAGTTCACAAACCATCAGACCACAACCAACAGGGCAAACACTCACTGCAATGCTCCACAAAAGTCAAAAGAAACTTCCCAACTAAATGCCATCTTCTGCCCAGCCCTAGGCTCCAGGCTCTGCAGTAACATCTTTATCTCGTATAATAGACTCTGTAGTAGACTGACTTTGACCTCCACAAAGAGTAGGAGTTGTCGAACTTGAGGAGGTAGACTCCTCTCCCTGGGTATTGGTGGCTGCCGGCGTACACCTCCTCGTGACAGTCCCGTCGGTACACAGGCACAATCTCGTCCAGCAAGGGCTTGTTGGCATCCTTTTTGGCTTTCTCTTCAGAAGGGATGTTTTCTGTGAAAAGGAGAGAGACAAATCATGCATTTCCATCAAGCACTGAAACGCCATCCTTTCTTTCAGTAACTGCTTGTTAGAAATTCACTTTAAAAAAAATTCGCTTGCCCTAGCCGGTTTGGCTCAGTGAGTAGAGCGTCGGTCTGCGGACTGAAGGGTCCCGGGTTTGATTCTGGCCAAGGGCATATGCCTGGGTTGTGGGCTCGATCCCAGTGTGGGGCGTGCAGGAGGCAGCCAATCCATGATTCTCTCTCATCATTGATGTTTCTATCTCTCTCTCCCTTCCTCTCTGAAATCAATAAAGATATATTAAAAAAAATTCACTTGATCCATTCTGACCTATGTGCATTCGAGCGTATATTGATTAGTAGGTTTGCTCATTCATTCACTCGTTCATTCACACATATGAGTCACTGCTATGTGCACAGCTCTGCCGGGGCCCTGGGAGCCCAGTGGTGAACATCTGGCTGTGGAGCGGCTGTATTCTCTCCCTCTCTATACTCTATCACTGCTCCTAATTGTGAGCCTCACTTTCCCCTTCCAATCCATTCAATTCCCAACTGGAAGGCTCTCCCTCATCTGCGTAAGGCCACAGACTCCTCCTCCTGCTCACCAATCTGGAAGTCCTCTCTGCTGTAGGAAGGGAGGCCACCTAGGAGCACTGTTATCTTAAATATGAGGAATGAGATGAGAAAACCGTAAGAGGTAGGCACTCAGAGACACTCTGACAATTCAATTATGTTCACTAGGCCTGTGTAATCTAGGGATGATCCCAGTGACAGAAATATGAGCTCTGGTTCTAGGCTGGCCCCAGTCAATAGTTTCAGTGTAATGACATAAGGTTAGAGGAGAGGAAGACAGATATAGAAACCTACAGGAGGGAGACAATTATACACCAGTTCAAAAGTCTCAGCTTAACATATTAAATATAAACAGCTTCAAGGGAAATAGGTCAAGGGAATGTTCAGCATAGAAGATAGAAGACTTTCAGGTTTATAAGACGGCAGAGTGAATGTGGTGACTGCGTTAACTGTGTGGTGACTGTCCATGGCTACTACCAGGAATTTTAACAAAAAAGTCTGACAAACTCCCAGAGTCTAGAGGCGCTTAAGGCAACATGATCATGAACTCTATATACTGTGGCATCCTCGATGGGATCCTGGACATCAGGTAAAAACTAAGGAAAGGTGAAAAACGATGTACTTCAGTTAATAATAATGTATCAGTACTGGCTCATTAGAAATGATGAATGTACCACAGTACAATGTACAATATTAACAACAGGGGAGATTGGGTGCAGGGGTGGGGAGGTGGGGGTGTAATATGGGAATTCCATGTACTATCTTTGCAACGTTTCCTATCAGTCTAAAAATATTCTAAAAAAGAAAGTTGTTAAAAAAAAAAGATGATATAAACAGGCCCAAATCAGATCACAGCAATACTTAAAAATTAATGTCCTTCATTTACAAAGGAGAAATACAAAGCCATTCCAAATGTACACTGTTGCCTAAAAGGATATCCATGAAACAGATCATTGGCCCATTAGTTCAAGACCCAAATTTTGTTCAAAATCTGTAAAACTGAAGTTACTAGGATGGATGAACAATGCTTCTTTCATCACTTTAAGCAAAGACTTGGGACCTGGAAGCAAGAAAGTGGAGACTTACAGTAGGAAGATGGGTTACACCCACCACGCTTCAGAGAAAACAAACTCCTCTTTCAAGACCGAATGGAGAAAAAACCACAGCAACAAACAAAAACCCGGACTCCCATCTACCTGAGCGGAGAGGATCCTCAGGAAACACAATGTGGACAAGCCTTGGTGGCTCAGTGGCCTCCCCAAGGAGGCACATGCATAGGGACCAAGCAGCTTGTGAGCTGCCCCTTCCAACAAGAGGGAGTTGTACGCACGCCCAGCAAGCACTTCCTGGGGACGACCAATGCTCACAGTGGCTACTTCACATTAACACAGAGGTTTCATGGGTTAGTGTTAGCTGCCAATTGTTTTAAGGTTCAAAACAGCACCAGGAAGGTCATGCCATCTTCCACTTGAGGGGCATTCTAGATTAGATTTGGGGTATCAGGGTTCCCACCTCTAGATAGGTCCCAGCCATGCTTACAGTGCTCCTCCCAATAGCAATAACCCCAAATTATTCTAGCTGAGGCTCAGACCAGGAAGTAACCTACTTTTAGAAGCTCTTCAACGGGCAGGCAGGAGAAATACTCCTGTACCTGCTCCTGAACAGAGAACTCTTCTATGTGACTCACAAAGCTCTTTGTAAGTAGAACTATCTGCACACGCACACACACTTTCCTTCGCAGACATCTGCCAACGGTCTGATTGCAATGAGTCCCTGTGATGACCCAGAAAGGCCGGCACAGGCTCAGTGCCGGGTCCTGAGGTCGCTGAGACCGTGGCCCTGGCACCTGCTCTGCTCGGCTCTCTGTCTCACTTCTTTTTGCTTTTCCCTCTTGTATCTTTTCTTTCGGGTTCAGTCAGGAGTATGTGTGGACCACACTTCATCTTGCTGGTGGCCCTCAGAGATGAAGACGGCTGGAGACAAAACGCCACGGGAGACACAGAAGCTCCGAAAGGACACTGCCCCGGATGTTTCCACGCATGGCCAGGCAGGGGCTCGGGGTGGTGACATGACTGTGCTGCTCAGAAGCTCACGGAACCCTGAGCCTCCCTCCACACACTCCCCCGACCGCCTGCCCCTTTAAAGTGACCCATCTAGTCTCCCAGCCTCTTCAGGAACGAGCGGCCCGTCTACCAGCGTCTGAACAGCGGGCTCCCAGGACCCACGAGAAGGTGCTTCCCGTTCTCACCGTCAGCTCCCTCCAGGTCACTCTCCACCGCGGCAGCAAACACTGAAGTGCTTACTAGGCACCGTGCACAAAAGCCCGAGTTCTAGCCTGCTATGTGACAATATCGAGGAGACCATCTTCTCAATTAATAAGCAATACATTTGATAACCTACTTCCTAGACTGTCCTTGGAAACAATTTTGTCCACTTAGAGCAAATAAAAAATTACCCTCTAGTGAAACAGGGAAGAGTGATTTTTAAAATTTGTATGTCTTGTAGGATGTTCTAGTGAGTTTCTGTACTTACATTAAAATTTTTTATAATAATGACCTAAAAAGCTAACACCAGAAACAAATTTAAATAAATTCCGAAGTTGGCAGAATTTCTTGCTTGCGCCTTTGAAATTTTTCAAAATCACGTTGCACATTTAGCTTTCACACACACAAGGCTGGAAGTAAAATGCTATTCAGGAAGCAGAAAACCAATGGCCAAACAGACCTTGTTCAGGCACCAGTCCCTACAGGAGCTGGCCTCTCACCACCTTCCCAGCCAAAGCCCCACCCCTGTAGGGAGTGATCCTGCCTGTGAAGTGTTCATCAGGAAGCGTAAGGCTGGCTGACCTCTGAACCGCCGCCCCTTCCGCTAAGACACAACCCAGCAGCTACTGAATATGGACCAATGGCTCTACCTTCGTCGTCCTCCTCGTCATCGCTGGATTCACTGACATGCACGCTGACAGCAGTGTTCGGAGAGTCTGTCCATTCAAAATATACCCCAAACCCAATGTCATAACTGTCTGTGGCAAATTCCCAGAAGAGATAGGATCCTTCTTCGTGGGTGGGTACGCGAACAGTGACCACCTCTCCTCGGCCCACCGTGATCACGGAATCCGCGTCCTGCCGGATCTTCTCCTTAAAGTCTTTGATCTGGGGTCGCGTCCACATGGATGGAGCTGCTATTACTGGAAGAGAATCTAAAGACAACAGAAATTACAACAGCTACAGGGGAGGAGCCGTCACCTGAGGCACCCAGCTGCACGCAGGCACTCAGGGCGACACGGTCTACCGGATGGAGGACTCAGAGGCACATAAAGGCCCCCCCAGGGAGGTCTCCCCA